GTTGTGGCCTCTCCCGTTGCGGAGCACAGGCTCCAGACGCGCAGGCTCAGCGGCCATGGCTCACAGGCCCAGCCACTCCGCGGCATGTGGGATCCTCCCGGACTGGGGCACGAACCCGTGTCCCCTGCATCGGCAGGCGGACTCTCAACCACTGCGCCACCAGGGAAGCCCACTACGATGAATTTTTGACATTCCTTCCATCCAGAGGCAGGGTTTGGCTCGCCTCCCCTTGAACCTGAGCAGGCTTGAAACTGCTACAACTGATAGAGTTGAGAGGAAGTGATGCTCTGTGACTTCTGAAACCAGACCCTAGAAGGGGATGGAGCGTCCACCTTGCTGGCTGGAATACTCGCTGGAGTTCTCATCCATCTTGTATGGACTCTGACTGCTCGACTGGAGAGGGTGCATGTAGGCGCTCAAAGCGACAGTCACAACTGAATTGTGAGTCTGTGAGTCGACAGCCAGATCAGCTGCCAGTCCTGTGAATGAGCCGTTTGGATGGTCAGCCTGGCCGAACCCCCAGGTGACAGCAGCCCAGCCAACAGTGGCCGCAGGAGAGACCCCAGTGAGAACCACCCAGCAGAGCCTTTCCCAGCTTTCTAATCTCCAAATTTCTGAGCAAAGGAAAATGGTTGTTGGTATACACAACTAAGTCCTTGGGTAAGTTGCTACAGTAATAGTGATGTGATCAGAATAATTACGGGCTGCGGGTTGTTATAACGGCAGGGGATTGAAGGGAAGGGAGACGCTAGAGGTCAAGCCTGTATCAGGCAGTCCTGAAACCAGCTGTAAGTCAGAATCTCTTGGGGGGGAGTTTGTGCAGTCTCTGACTCAATGTCTTAGATGAGCCCAAGAATCTCTATTTTTAAAATAATCTCCTATAAAAAAATTAAAACTATTTTTATCACAATAGTGATAGATGCCCAGTACAAAAGGATATAAATCTTACCCCCCAACCTTGTGACTCTTTTCTTTTTTTAAATTTTCCTGCATATTTGTTTCTTCAGGTGAAATCAGGATCATTTTGCCATGTTCCTCCCAAATCCTGTTGGTGTTTTGATTGAGATGATATTAAATGCATAGGTTAATTTATGGAGAAATAAAATCTTTTCAATACTGAGTCTTTTCATCCAAGAACACAGTATGTCTTTCAGATTTTTTCAGATGTTCTTCTATGTCCCTTGGTAGCGCTTTACCATGTCCATCAGCTAGGTCTTGCCTCTCTCTGGTAAAGTTTACTGTAGGCAGTTTATCTTTAAGCTGATATTGTAAATGGGATCTACTACTTCTATTTTATTTTTAATTGATATTTTCATACAGGAAAGCTATTGGTTTTTTCATGTTCATTTTGCAATCAACCACTAGCTGATTTCTCTCATTTCTGATAGTTTTTCAGTTGATTCCCTGGTGTTTTTCAGATACATATCATCCACAGATAATTTGGGCTCACACTTTCCAAACTGGATACCTCATTTCTTTCCCTTGCTAATTGCATTGGCCAGTGCTTCTAAAATAATGTTAAATAACAATGACACAGTGGACATACATGTTTACTAATATGATTTTGGTTTACAATTTGGGAAATTTGTACCAATGGAATCTGATAGAAGCAACACCCAGATCAGCATTGGGGAACCACTGACATATCATCTTCATCCGTTTATTTCTTCTGTCTGGAAGCATATTGCTATTTCCATGCTACAGGGTATGAGATAACATGAGGTCCGTAAAACTTCCTAAGATTCTGTGAGCCAGGATGGACCCCCTTGTTATTGATGGGGAAGGGTGTGGTAACTCCTTGTATAGTCTTTGGTTATAGCCCTAGTCACTTGTGCTTTAGGCTGTTTAAGATTGACTTCTCCCACCTGGGAACCATCTTTATCACTCCATCCTGTACTTGGCACAAAGGAGACTCTCAGATGAAGGACATCTGTCTCTTATCCTTCACTTCGTCCTGTCTCTCTGACTAGAGAAATCAGGTTCTTGAGAATCCTTTCTGCCTTCTCCTGTCACCTTCCTTGAGTGGTGTTTAGGGAGCTCACAGATCTGACCAGCCTGTCTCCACGGGAGATGGTACGCAGTGCACAAGATTATCAAATGACCCAGATCTTCCAAGTCATGATATCAGCGCAGTTTTTCAGGAAAGGATGAACCAAGCCAGAGGTGGTTGAAAATGTATTTATTTTTCTTCAAATGATCTTTTTTTCAAGCAATAAATAAAAACTGACATGTTTGACTTATCTAAAAAACAAAACCAAACAAAAAATCCCCTAGACTATATACATCCTACAGAAAAACAAGCATATCAAATGTAGAAATGACGTCACTCTGAAAGATGGGGCTATTTACAGAAGTTACAAGTATTGCATTGCTCTGTCTTAAAGAAGCCTCTTTCTCCTAGGACTCATAAACTCTAAGGAAGGGCAGGGTCCTCTTCAAAGAGGTGGCACTCTCCATCCTTCTCGACAGACAGGGGAAATTTCAGGGAAGAACATCGACATCCAGACACTGTATTCGGTTTCCTAACAAGGCTCCGCACATCAGCTGGCTTTCAAGGGGCCTGAAAGGGCCCCTCGTTCAGGAGGTCACGTGGCCCCTGAGCTCCTGACAGAAACCATCTTGTCCCTCAGCAGAGCTGAGGGGACTGACCATGAGACCACACTGAACTAGTGACAAACCCCTGGCTGTGGCTTCTGCCAGACAAGCCAGCTCTGTGTTATCAAGACCCAGCCTCCAAGAGCACCTTGCCATCCAGAAAGTAGCTTCCCAAACTTGGTTACACACGGAAAGCACCTGGGGAGCTTTGAAACCTACTGATGCCTGGGTTCCTCCTCCAGAAATCCTGCTGTACTTGGTCTGGGATCGCCCGGTAGCAGGGTTTCAAAGCTCCCCAGCTGAGGCTGACGGGCAGCCAGGGCGAACCACCACTTTACCAACTAAAGGCTTGGCGGCCCCTCCAATCTCACAGCCCCTTCCCCTCACATTTGAATCACCCGTCCCACCTCCCTCTGCCCATCTTCCCGTGGATTCTACGTTTTTTCTCATGGCTTCCCAACCTTTTGGGTAACTCTCTGGAATCGAGCTAGGATGGGTAACTGAGGAAAATGGTCTCAGGAGGCCACAACTGAGGCTGGGAGCTCCCGGCCACCGGCTCACAGGCGGCTTCAGCCGAATACTGCTGGGGGAAGCTCCACGAACACACTTGGGTCACACAGAGATGCCGGGAGGGAACCGGCAGCATTCTCCAGTCTCTACGGAAGATCCAGAGTGCCTACTGCCTTTGTCAACAGCACAGTTGATCTTCGGTGTAAGTGGCAATGCTTTCCACCCATGACACATATTTCGCGTCACCAGAAATCACTCCATGGGGAGACACCTGTTGAAACCCACTGGCCATTTGGACAGACCCTGCGGTGCTGTCTTCATTACAGTTATTCCAAGTCATCAAAGAGGCTTCTGATGGGGGAATAGTGACCCAAGTCCCTGTTTCCAATCAAGCCAATTTCCTATTTGATTTCTAAGAGTTTTGGGGCTGCTATTGGGTACAAAGAAAATGGCTTTATAAATAGTGGTTTGACGCTGTGACAGAAGACTTGAATTGGAAAACAGGGAAAAGACCAGTCTGGCGCAGGTCCTGGGTTCCGACCGTGTGGTTGGGATCCAGTCTGGGAAAGCAGGATACACAAGTTTTGGCCAATGTACACTCATTCTGTAAAAAGCTACTTTCCCTCCTCTCTCAAGCAGTCCCTCCTGCGGGCCTATCTGCTTGTGGGAACCCACGCTTTTTCAGACAGGGCTTGGGAAAGGCAGGACAAATGATGCCAACACAGGCTCATGTTTATGGAAGGAAATGTAAGGAACCTGGTCCTGTCTGGGATGTGGGGCTGAGAAGGAGCATTCCAACACTATTCCAACCTTGAGGCTTGAAGTTATTTATGGGTGAGCAGGAATGTGCATCACTTAGATCCTCAGAAGACTAAAAAGAACCCAAAAAACAAAACCGAAAAGCATGCTCTCGCTTCTAGACAAGTTTGGAATTACCTCTAACCTGGTACTGGGTAACAACACTGTTCCACGATACTACAAATTAAATAACACGTAGTTTGTCCCGTCCTCCCTCCCCCAAGCCCAACCCATCTCCTTCTTTCTCCAAAAGCCATTCCTCCATCTGGAAAGGGCCCTGAAAATGGCAGTATCCCAAGAAAGGATTCTAAGATGGCACACAAGTGCCCTGGATGCCTGTCACAGAAGCCAAGCAGCCAGCTCCCCCACAGAGTCTGCCCGACTCTTCACTCACTCTCTCTTGCTGTCCTAGACTTCCAAGGGACCTGAAATAGGGTGTCCACTCCCTTCTTTTTATTCACCTATTCACTTTAAAAATATTCACCGACACCACGAATTTTAAGAACCCAAGAATTTGTTGGTGTACTTCATTCCAAGCAAACCCCCTAAAATTAAAAACTCTGATTTATGTAAAAGAGAAAAAAGATGGTGCTTCCACTTCCAAAAGGATCCATTTCGGGTCTATCTCTCTTAGCTGGGTTCCCCAATGGCCTTGCCAAATGATTCACTGCAGGAAAAGCTGAATTGCGCCCAATTTATTTTACGAGCACCTTATATGATATGGCATTTATCACAGATGATATACAAGTTCTCAGGCAGGTCTATGAGAAAAATGCTTCCACCGCCACAGTGAGTTATTGATCACCAGAAACGGTTCTATTGTTGTGGTTTCAAATCGCTTCAGTGGCCCATGTGCCCAAGAACCAAGAATCCGTATTCGCGGATGCAGTATGCGCGGACGCAGTATCCGCGGATGCAAGAATCAGCGGATTTACGCATCCACGGATTTGGGTATCCGCGATGGAGGGAAGGGGTGCTGGAACCAATCCCCGGCAGATACCGAGGGAGGCTGTAATGAAAAAGTAGTCCCTTCCTTTCTTCCTCCTCCCACCCCCCCCGACCCCTTCTCAGCGGTAACAAACGCAAGCTGATCATCATGCTAACTTGTACACACCACTTACTTCCTAACTGCTTTGACGTCTGCATGCTATTGTGCTCTGCTGATCCACGTTAACATAAATATATTCTAAATTCACCATCACTAGACTCTTTGTACTTACATACTCTGAGGAAATTCTTAATAAATACTTTTATTTATTATTAAGCATAATTATTCACCTGTTGGTGGTGACTTAGAAAGGAAAACCATGTCCTAAAAGATTTCTTTAAAAAAAAAAAAAAAAAATCCTGTAACTACAACAACAACAAAAGGACCGAGCACACAGAACCAGGCACTTCTGGCGAACCTGTTTTTATCTTGTCCCTTTCCCTCCCCTCCCTCCCTTCCCCTCCCCCTCAACAGAACTGGGTGGGCACATTTGCCAGGATCTGCGGGTTTCCTAACTTCAAGCCTTACTGCTGAAAAAAATGAGGTAAGAAATTCCTATCTGAAAAGTAAAACTGACGCACAAACCAAAACCCAGGTCTTCCCTGCCTGCCGAGGAAGACATTATTGCTCTAAGTTGGAGTGTTGTGTTTGTTTGCGTTAAATATATATTCGAAGTCCTTATTGCCATTCTAGCTGGCCCCCCGTTGGCCAAAGAGAGATGGATGGAAGGAGCTCTGTCGCCCCCTGCGGGCCAGTCCCGACCTGCTGCCCGCACAGGGCGCCACCCAACCCGTGCTGAGAGCCGATGGGTGTAGGGGAGGGAGGATTCGAGAGGCTCTAACAGCTGGGGGAGGTGGTGATGGGGCTGTGCAGATAGGGCAGGCTGCTGGGCGCCGGGTGCCCCCCGACGGAGACCGGGAAGCTGAAGACGAACTGCGACGTAGGGGTGGGAGTGGCCTTGCCCCGCTCGCGCAGCGGCCCCGACGGGCTGGCGGCCTCCACCGCGCAGGACGTGGCCAGCACCTGCGACTCGAACTGCAACAGCTGCCCCATGAAGCTGAAGTTGGGCGAGATGATGCTCCGCCGCTGCTTCACGAACTCGAAGGCCTCCTCGAGCCTCACGCGCTTCTTCATCATCAGGTAGGCCAGGCAGATGGTGGCCGAGCGCGAGATGCCGGCCTGGCAGTGCACCAGCACGCGCCCGCGGCAGTCCTTCACCGCATCTGGGGCAGAGAGCGGCGCGCCGTTAGCGGCGCCCAGGTCCCCATCCTTCCCGGAAGGCGGCTGCAGGCGGCCTCAGCCGGGACGAGGGTGCGGGGAGGACTGGAGAAGAGGGGGGCCTGCGGCTGAACCCCTGAAGGAACAGCGCCTCCCAGGCTGAGGCCGCGCAGGGAGGAAACCCACGGGGGGGAGGGCCTCTAGAGTTCCACCCCCGCTAGAGTATTTCGGAGAATTACGCAAACAAATGTACTACGCTTAGGAAATACGCCAGCTGAAGCTGGAGCAATCCCCGCACACACGGCAGGGTTTTCATTTGCAGGAACAAAAACAACGACCCAATCCTCCCTTTGTCTCCCTCCCCATCCCCAGAGTCTTATCCTCTCGGCACCTGGGGACGTCCAAGGAAAAGGTCCTTGGCTCTGTAAGCTAACAGCACCTGCTGTTTGCCTAGGTCCGTCAGACTATCCAGGGCCTGCACAACACCCCACGGGCAAGCCTTCCTACTGAGGAAGAAGGGAAACAGGCAGCCCCCCCCCCCGGATATGGCCCTTCCTAAGTCCCTCCTTCCACACACCAGCTACACGTGGTTCCCTCTTCCCTCCCATCCTCCCTCCGCCAGACCTGGGCCCAGCACCCTGGCCTGGGAGGACCCAGCACCCTGGCCGGAGCCAGCCTACCGATGTACTCGATGGCCACCATGAACCAGGAGCTGATGTCGGCCTTGTGGCTGTCCTCCACCGGGATGCACTTGTACTGGTAATGTCCTTCAAAGTGGTTCGGGCAGTCAGAGGAGACGTTCAGCAAGGCTGTGATCCCCAGGGCGTCCAGCATGTCTCGCCGGGCTGCGTGATAGGCGCTGCCGAGGTAGAGGAAGGGAAGGATCTCCACGGGACCCCCCTGCACCAGAGAGGGAAAACAAAGCGCCCCCCGCCCCCCACCGGCAAACGTCGTTAAGTGAAAGGCAACTGGGCAGGGGGCTGGGACGTGTGGGGCGGGGAGAGGGAAGCCAGTCTCAGGTGGGCTTTCACGGGCCCTGGGGACACTGCCCATGGACCCGGCCCCTCCAGGTTTCCCGTGTGCCGCTTGGGCCCCGGCAGGGAGCGATGGGCTCTGGCCTTTCTGCTCTGCTATGGGCCCCACCTGCTGGTTCAGGCAGACCACTTCCCCCGTGACAGATGAAGCTGGCCGTGCCCCACTGTTTGTGACGCGAAGAGCTTACACCCGCTACCACTGAGCTACGCGGCTTAGGCACTTATTCGGCTGGATACGCCTTCACTTGGCAGACGAAAAGCAGACGCCATGTCCACCTCACACACAAGGGGAGGCATCCTGGCAAAATGAGGTAACGCTGGCTTCACTAATGACACTTTTCTGAGTCAGATCAACACAAGTGATCTCGGATTTGGGGAGCAGAGTTGCTGGACCCCACAAATTCACTCCATTTCCATCTAAAGGAAAGGGCTGGAAGGGGTGGGCTTGTATGAAATGTAGTGGCATAAGCTGGTTTCTTGGGAGAAGGATTGGTTGATCATTTATGTCCATTTAGCATTTACAATTAACTTGTATGGGGGGGCGGACAGCCGAACTGTTTTGAATCGGGCAGTCCACATGCTTCTGGCCTCCTTCCTTGCTTGTCTGCACAGAACTCTAGAGGCTAAGTCAGGGACATATGTGTTTATATTCTTTTCTTAGGTGAGGGTAATAAAAGAGGGAAGGGGAAGACTTCCAAGGAATAGTGGACTCCACATAACATCACACCCCGATACTCAACACATTCTCCCCACATTGAGGCACTGCGTCCAAAGCCTTTGACAAGCAGTCCTCTTCACACCTGGTCGTGCAGTGGGGTGCCGCAGGAGCTGCAGCCCAGGTCCAAGGACTCGGCCGTGCTTGGGGGCACAGCAGGTGGGATGGCTGCCAGGGCCTTGGTTTTGGAACAGAATTCGGGGTACTCGGAGGAAAACCTCTCATAGCCACCTGTAAAGTAGAAAGATATTCAGGTTAATGGGGTCGCTGAGCCAGCAAGAAACCACAAAGAACTTGAATCCTACCTGATGGAGGAGAGCTGTTGGGAAGCTGGGGCTGGTTGTACCTACATTTGACACTGGGTGGCGCTGTGGGCCCAGAGAGAATGGCTATGGAGCCCTTTTTCCCCGGGATGCAGAGATTACATTCGGCCAAGACTGCATCCTGAAAGCGGGAATGAAAGCTTTAGGGACAAGACTTCGGATTGGGATGCAGATACACAAAGGAGGATGTGCAGGGGAGATGAAGAAGGGATAATTTCTTTACAGTGATGACAAAGAAAGAGGGAATAGCCACTGGGGGTTTTCATGAGCACTTCAGCTGGCCCCTGGGCCCTACAAAAATGTCTGTCATCCCCCAACTACAGCCCTTCTTTTAGAGAGGTTCTCCAATGTGGGAGAGAATAAAAAACTATTACCCTGGCACCGGCCCTTCTGGATCTCAGCAACAGAACAGATGCCAATTGCACGGCCCCATGAACAGCTGTTCCATGGACATGGGGCCAAAATGAGAGCAAACGGGCTTAAATCTAAATAAATCCCTCTTGCTACATACAGGTTTGGGGCAAGGGAGGATTTCCTGACCTGAGAGTTGCTAAGCCCTGGAATGGTTCTCTGTGGGGTCGTCTTCCAGGGAAGGAAGGTCGTTTAAGTAAAAAGAGAGAAACGGCCAACTTCTCTGCAATAGTGTCAGTGCCATTCAGGAAAGGGCTGGCTGGGCAGACGTGGGCAGAGATGCGGGCAGAGATTCAGGCAGAGGCAGGCAGTGAAACACACCAAGAAGAGAGACATTCAACCTGTATCTCTGATTTTCTTCTGATCTCTGGGACTTCTCTTTGCGGGACACTTACCATCTATTGTCAGGGTTTGGCCCTGCTTGTATTTTTATTTTTGCAGTTTCTGTTGGACCAAAAATGGATTATAAATGAATTCAGTAGGGTCTGCGGGTTCTGGAACAACCACTCAACTGATGGTCACGTAGGCAGCTAGCCCGTTACGTCTTTATGACTAAGTGATAGGGTGGGTGCCACTGTTCCGGATCACCACTGTGCAAAGCAATTTTCCAACATATGACGGTTAGTCAATTACTCGCCCTGAATCCCAACCCTAGAAACTTCCGCTTTGGAGAGGAAAGAAAATTATGTTTGCCACGTCATTAAGGCTTCCAGAAACGGAAGACATTTTTTCCTCTCTGACTGGAGGCCTCCTATTTCCCCCACTCCCTCCCTCAGGCTATAAATGGATATTTCTCTGGTCCCAGGCCCTGGCTTCTGCTGAGTCATAATGACCAGCCTCCCTGGAGGGAAAACCTGCTAGAGGGGCCAGTACTGCCCGCCTTCAGATGTGCTGGTGGCCTCAATGGACTTTTCATTGCAGGAGCGGCCTCCCTCCGGTTATCACCCCCATCTGTCCCCTTTCCCTATAAAGCTGTAAACACCGCTGCCCCAAGTGCGGTGTGTGCGGGAAGAAAAACAAGCAAGTGCCTCTAGCTGAAGTCCCGGGGATGGGAGACTTCGGGAGACGCTGCCCTTTGGAGAAAGCGGAAGGAGAAATGGGTCACTCAACCAACGGAGGTTGATCATCTATATGAAAAGCCATCACTTGTTATTCTAGAGACTTCTACAGGATTTGAAATTTTTTTTTTTTTTTTGCATTATGCGGGCCTCTCACTGTTGTGGCCTCTCCCATTGCGGAGCACAGGCTCCAGACGTGCAGGCTCAGCGGCCATGGCTCACGGGCCCAGCCGCTCCATGCCATGTGGGATCTTCCTGGACCGGGGCACGAACCCGTGTCCCCTGCATCGGCAGGCGGACTCTCAACCACTGTGCCACCAGGGAAGCCCAGGATTTGAAATTTTTTAAGTAAGATGATCCGTGTCTTTATTACATACTTTGAGCTAGTAAAATACATTTTTTTCAGAGAGATGCAAGGCATGAGTGGTGCCCTCCAAAAGCTCATCAGCTAGACAGGCAGGCCAACAGTCACAGGAGGGCCAGGGCCCGGCTCCAAGGTCACGGAGGAAGAGCAGGCCTGAGGGCAGCAGGAGCTAAGGAACCTCAGAGTGGTGGGAAGAATGTTCTCGCTGCTGAGAAGGTACACAACAGGGCACCAGACTGAAGTCCTGAAGAGCCTCGCCTCTGCAGTCAGACTCACAGGTCTGGGTTGAATCATCGGCTGTGCAGCCTTGGGGCCGTCACTGAACCCCTCTGAGCCTCCTCCTCATCTGTAAAATGTGATGAAGCTTCCAGGCCAGGAGTCTCCTGTGAGGGCTGACTGGAACAGCCAGTGCACTGCACCGGGCCTCGGGGAGAAGCTCAATGAAGGTTTTCTTTTTTGGTACCTACAGGTGACTTCGGCTTTACTGGCAACTTCTCAGACCCTAGACAGCCTTCTCCTCCTGGGCTTTACTTATTTTTTCCAGTAGGCATCTTGAGAGCTGGTAATTAAGACAGCAGAAGAACAGGTGCTGGGCACTTCCTGAGCCCTGAGTGCCCTGCCCAGTCAGGGACATCTGCTACCTCCCAGGGTCAACCATCAATCAATCCGGGGCAGGGAGGGCCCAGCAGAACCCTCGGAGGGCTCCGAGCCTGCGGCTGACCCTGGGGGTGTGGTGTGCAGGGGAGGGTGCAGGCGGCCCAGAGGCCAGACCCGGCCTGAGGGGGGCTGTCTGTCGTCACCCTTAGGCTGCTCATAACAGGACAGAGAGACAGCAACGGTCAGGAAAAGGCACCATTACAACAAAGTGGAAAAACACGATTACTGAAAAGTCTGTTCCCTCTGGGGGGTTTTCAGAGAACAGGCAGAAAGGAACCAAGTGAAGAAGCAGATTTGTTCAAGGGACAGGAACAAGGTGAGGGCTGCGTCCCTCGGTGGCAGCAGTGGAAAGGTTTTCCCTCCTGAGCCGTTGCTAGCTTTGGGGGCGGTCTGTGGCTGGTAGTTACAAGGAACATCACCAAAGGCTCTCCTTCTGGGGCCGAGGTGCTGCACTCAGGCCAGGCCCTTGGATGAGCTGAAACGTGCCCTGGTGGGCCTGGAGCTCGCAGGCGAGGCAGTGCAGACACAGGAGTGCAGATCAGGGGCCATTAAGTCCACACCCCACTCACAAGGCCACACGCCAGGAAGCCACCTCCAGGTATCCCATGCGTGTTCATAAAAATGACAGACCCTCTTAAAAGGAAGTGTTCATTATGTGTCAGGCTCTTCCCACACAGGTATCCAACCAGTAGCCCTAGAGGAAGGCGTGACAAGCCCCAGTTTTACAGAAGAGGAAACAACGGAGGTTCAGGGCAGCCCCCAGGTAAGGGCGGGACCAGCATTCAGTCCACAGAAGGGGCCTGAAAGCCGCTTTGAAGCTGGCCGTCAGGAGCCCACCCTGCTGCTTGCCCACCGCTGCCTCCCCGGTGGGCCTTCTCTAGGGGCCTTGCCTGCTGGTTTCATCACGCGAAGAAAGAGTTTTCACGCAGAAACAGAAGGGATGTGAACAGAGCACTGCTGACACTTCACCAAACTGCTTCTTTCCAGTGCTTTTCCAGGTAGTCATGGAGGAGTCGTGACCAGCGTTTTTCTATTTCATGAAATAGAACAGAAGCTCCTTGAATGCGCTGCATTTACAGAGCGTGTAATTTCATGGCATTGTGCTTTCAGAGTGACGGTCCCCGTCACAGGGACTTCAGCTAAAGCCACTTGCTGGCTCTTCTTCCCCCACACACCACCTTAACTCCAGCCCGAGTGTGGCATTAGCCCCGTCAGTGTGGGGCTACAGACACCTGGCCAGGTGATGAGCTTACTGGAGGGTACCACTCACGTCTTACATCTCTTGGGAAAAAATGTATTTTAAGAGCTCAAATTACATAATAAGCACACAGATCATTTAACTTCAAAAAAAATTTCAAATCATCTCGAAGAATATAGAGTAGCTCTATACTGGGTCGTGGCAGAAATGAAACTGAATTTCTTAGGGTGGGTGGGATTGAAGAAGACTGCCCCCAGCCCCCTCTCCTCTGTGCCTCCCTTCCCAGCCCACATCTGTGCAGGTACCAGAGCCTCGGCCCTTCCAGTAAGAGCTAGGTTTATCCAAAACTCATGAGAGGGAAAGCTTATTGCCACTGTAGACCCGGAGGGGAGCGCTCTACCCCGTGACCCCTGCAGATGTGCACGGTAGACAAAGCAGACAGGTGTGGACGCGTCCCAGCTCCGACTGTGGAAGCCCAGCTAACACATTCCCTAAGTCCTGTTTTCCACCCTCAAAATGTAAGGATTCCAGACCATATCATCTCTAAGTTCCAACATTCTGTGATCCTGAACGTTCACAAACTACTCATTTGCAAACTACAAACCGACAGCAGGTGCCTCAAGACCTATATTTCCATCTTTTGAACACATTTTCACAGCACAAACGCCAATGAATTCCCACCTGGTTTTCTCCTACGTCCTATTGCATGTAATTCTGTAACAGACATGCTGACTAATTTTGACCCGTTTTTCTCATGTTCTTATTTAACAATATACCTTCTAGTCTTAAAGCTCTCATTTTCTCTTAAAACTTCATTTTAAAATTTGAGAGTCTTGGGGGGGGCGGGGGAAAAAGGACTATAATTTTCCACTTGATTCCCCTGAGGAATAACTACATCTACAGTTCCATTCTGTGTTCCTTTCATCTTCTCACACAGAAACTGTAGCTTTGAAAACTGGCTGGCCTCCTGCTTATGCAGGGGTGGGAGTGAATGTGGGAGAAAGTCCATCAGAAAGGGCAGGCTGGCGTAGTGCTGGTCGTCTCACCATAATAGGACTCTTAATGGGGTCTGTGATGGGAAAGACTGTCTCTTGGTGGTGACGATGGTCACGGATCTTAACGTGGCTGCCAGGTTTTCCCCGTGACCCTCTCCACGCTCAGAATATCACCCGTTCACAGACAGGGCTCATGGCCTCGCTCTCTTGGGACAGCTTATCAATACGAGGCAAATGTTGCCCAGCAGGCAAGTCTGGGGACATTCGAAGGTCCCTTGGCTTTGAGAACTTCCCTTGATGCGGGTGTTGACCTAGGAAGCGCCCCTCTAAATGCTGAGCATTTCCAGTTTAGCTAAATGGGCTTCTCACCTTGGGGCTTGGTGTCAAGACCTTGGTCCTGGGCCAGCTGGGCTGACACCTGATGCCACACTCGGGCTGGACCTTGTTTGCAGCCCCTCCCAGAGTCCTTCTGTGCTATCTGCTCCGTTCAGCAAGCCGCCTTCCGCTGAGTCTACATTTCTTCCTCTCCAACTTCCTCTTTGTTAGATGAGAACTGCCTCCCAGCAAGGAAACCAGCTATCTGCTTTCAGATGTTCTGATGTTTTTCAAGGAATTTCTTGGCCCTTTAAAAAGGCCGCCCTTTCTCCTCTCTGAGTTCTCTGTGCAGCCCACCTTGGTGGGGACAGCCCACCTTTCCTGTAAGCATCCAGGAGAAGCCCAAGGGAGCTGTGATAGGCTTACGGACAATCAGGTTGCCACTCTCAATTTACACCTACACCCTGTCTTTAGTTGCTCTTGTTGGTTGGAAACATCCAGTTCAAATGACGCAAAGGGTAGTGAGTTTGCTTCATTCCTTACAATTCTTTAAGGCCTTCGACTAGGGGGTAGGAATTACCTTTAAGGCCTACTTTTTTTTTTTTTTTTTTTTTTTATTTTTAACAATTCTTGGCTGTCATGGGCATTGTGTCCTGTTTGCAAGGAGAAAAGCCAGTCATTTTGCCTTTGGGTGAAAGAGGTGTTCAACCTTAGCATCCCCCAGGACTCTGCTGTTTGATGCCACTGACCTCCTGGAAACGAGGATGGGTAGGGCAAATGGACACAGAGAAAGAAAAGACAGAAGACAGTCACCCGAACCCCACCCACAGCATTCATTACGGGCCTTAGTGGCTGTTTTCACAGGAAGCATAGTGTCAGGTCTGTATGATCAGGCCTGGGGACTACTGGGTAGGTGACTTCCAACCTGGAAGGAGAAGTTAGAGTATTTAGTTCATCTTCCCAGTTTCTCAAAACAGCTCCAGGACAGCTTTTAAATCAGAACTTGAATAAGAACTGACAAAGGTCATGGGCTGAGACGAATTTTAGATAGAAAGAAAAGTAAGATAATGTTTTTATACCTGACATCTTCTGCAAAACAGACTGATTGATTTGGAGACTGTGGGAGGTAAAGGAAGACTTCTGTTAGGGTAAGAAAATGCTCTTTTTGTCTTTCTCTATTGACCCAGGGTGGATGGGGTGGGAGCGGTTGTCTAAAACCCTATTCCAAGGATCTATGAGGAGCGAGAAAGGAATTTCAAAGGAGACGTGTACTGTAATAAAATCTGAAAAGCTAAACTTTCTAAACTGTCCCTAAAAATGTCTTACAGGATTTTAAATAAAATGAGCTTAAAAAAAAGTTTATCCCAATGGGAAGCTTTTACTAGCCAAAAGACCAGAAAATGTAGTGATTTGGGTTACTGATTTTAGCAAACCTTGGGTAATATTAGGAAATGTAAAGGCCAGATAGTATTTCATTGATAGAAAGTAAAGTTTACTCTTAACTATGAATTCTTGTCTGTAGTATTAGTTATTAACTGCCTGCAATGAGTAACCAACTTCCTGCCCTCAAAGTGGCAGAAATGGGAAAATCGGCCTTTAAAAATGCAATTAATTGGTAGAATTAGATAGCCTGTGGCCAGGAAGGGTAATAGAGCTTCTGAAAATGCCCAGCTGTTTTTACTCTCCCTCCAGGACGGCAGACACCAACAATCAGTCTTCCATTGGCTTAATGTCTGACCACTTTTATTCCACACCCACCACTGCACATGAAATGAGACGCCCAGGAAGGCCCATTGGCTGCAAAATAAAGGAACAACTCCGGTGGGAAAAAAATTACCCAACCCGTAATCAGTTAAGGCATTTACTAAAGATAATCTAAGGGGCTTGTCTCCCCGTTTCCCTTTAGTTCCCCGTCCCCAGCTCCCCCCTGCCCATGAGCCCACATTTCCTGCCATTCCACTTCTCCAAGGGATGGGAGTGCAGGAGGCATGGCTGTCCTCCCCCTGAGGCACGTTCCCGCAGCGCTGGGGGAGCAGACCACGCCCATTTCCTTCTGCCCTCATTAGGGATGCCTTTCCAGTAGAAGGCAAGAAGAAACAGGACCTGTGTGGAGACCGCCTCTGCTTAGCACATAAATGAAAATACTCAAGTTGAATAGAATAGGACCCAGTTAACCTCAAAGAAGTTCTACCACCATTGCAGAACAAGCTGGAAGGAGCCCCCCCCCCAGCCCAAACTCTGTGAATTTTAGGCGGCTGCTTCCAAAGGTAGGCCCCCTTTGCTCAGAAAAACCCAGCTGAACCTCTCCTGGCTCCTCCCGGGGGGCCTGTTCCTGGAGAGAGAGAAGCTCGGTCCAGGCCTAGACACTTTCCGGCTCAGAGGATGCGGACTTTGAGAGGCAGCGGGCCGTCCTCCCTGCCCGCACCAGGTCAGACAACAGGAGGCAGTGCAGGCCTCGGGAGGAAACAGCCCTTAAAACACGCCTTTTCCGTGGGCCAGGCACCTCGCCAACCGCCAGGGGACTGTCGTTTTACCTTTTTACCCAGAGGGTGCCCGTCCAACGCAGCCTTCACATTAGCATCTGCCTTGCGCCGGGCGGCCGGTCCGCAGGGCGGCTCTCGGTACAGGTCTGGCTCCGGGCTCTCCCGGCGGAATTCGGGGGAACCAGGGAGGTGCCAGGAGCCCGAGGCGGAAGCCTTAAAAATCTGTCTCTCTCCCCGGGAGCGGGGCCTAAGTGTCTGCGCGCCCGGAAACCCTAGGGCGGTCCTCTCCGGATTTCTTCCAGGAAGAAAAACAAAACAGAACGAACCCAGACCCCACGTGCGTCTGCCCTACCTCGAGAAGGGTCCTGTGTTCAGGGCCCGCGCAGGCAGGCGCGCGATTGGGCTCCAAATCAGGAGCGATCGAGGTCAGCGCGGCACGGAGAACACCCCGGCCAGCCCCTGCCACTCGAAGGGACTTTGGTCCCAGAGACGTTTCTCTCCTCGTCCCCATGAGCGCCGGCACGCCGGCATCATGCAAGGGAGTGCAGGAAGCGTGCGTCAACAGCCCGGACCCCAGCCCGGCGCTCTACCCGGTCCGGGGCCGCGTGGCTCCCGACACAGCTCGGCGCCAGGGCAGGCGGGGGCCCCGGGCCCCCTGCGCCCAGCTCGCCGGGCTTAGCGGTCCTTCCGGTGCAAGGCTCTTCCTGGCACTTTCTCTTAAAGCGCTGGGAGGAGAAGGGAGGAGCGTTTGGTTTAATCTGAGGTGCCAAAGGCCGCCCTCGTAGAGAAAGAAAAATCAGCAAAATCGCCTTAGTAGTTCAACCAAAGGTCAACAGCAGCATTTCCCCAGCAGCTGACAGGTCAAATGGCCAGGAAACAACTGCCGAGAACAAAGTCCCCCGCTGTTCACGGGGGCAAGCCTGGCCCGCCGGCACTGGGCAGTGTTGTGCTTTTTGGCAGGGGCGGCGGGGAGAGGTTTCCGCCGCGCCTCCCGCCCCATCTCCCTTCCTCTCCAGTGAGCGGATCTGGAGAGGGCAGGAGGGAGGGGGGCCACGGGCGCCGACAGGGAAAGGGGTGGCTCTTTGATAGCCCGGGTCCGAAACGCCTCTGGACTTCGGAGGCCAAGACCCGCCGCGGGCGAAGGAACTCGCGGAATGCGGCGCGGGAGGAAGGGGCACTGCGCGGCCCCAAGGGGCCCCAAGCAACCCGCCAGCTCCCCGCCGCCCGGCAGGTGCGGTCGGCGCCCCCGTCCCTCCAGGTACTTGGGTAGCCCTCGGCCCTTTCGGAGTTTCCGACTTGCACATTTGACAAGACCTCCCGTCCCCAAGAGTTTCGCACTTAAGCGCGCGCCGCCATCTGAGAGTCGAGTCTGAACAAAAGGTCGCACTTGTCGCAGTTTGAGGCCCCGTCCCGCCTTGCGTTCCCCAGATACTCGGACCTCCCGCCTCCCGCTCCGGAGCCTAGGGATGGCCCGAGGCGGGAGGGGTTGGCGATCCTCCAGGTGGAGCTCGGAGTTGGGCAGCAGAGGAGGAGAGAACAGATCGCTCCACATCAGGCCCGCAAGCCGATCTTCGTTTTTGCGTTTAGGAAGGGCTGGTTTCCAGCCAGACCCGCAGGGCCCATCCCATCCCCGCGCTCACCCTCCTTCACCCCCTGCCCCATGTCTCGGGATCTCTGGGTCGGACTCAGGGCGGGACCCGGACACGCCAATCCAACAGGCCTAACCTCCCCACCGTGGCACTTGGGAGCACTTCCCTGGACTCGAAGGTGGGCAACGCAGCTGAGTCGCTTCGCCCGCAAGACCAGACCGTTAGTGGCTGTAAACAATCGCAGAATCGCCAGGAAGGGTCCGGAATTTCAGGTGACGGAGCCCTCACCGTCTCTGAGGACCTCAGGAGCTCGCGCTTGCACACAAACACACAGAATCCTTGCACACCACGCGCATACACCAGTACGCACAAAGGAGTGCGCGGGGGGGATCCCGCAGCCACGAGTCCCTCCAGGCACTTCTTCTCCTGCCCACTAAGGCTCAGGCCGCGGAGCCCCGCCGCATCGACCCTCCAGCTCGCGCCCGGCGCCGGCGTTTACCTTTGAGCAGGCAGATGTCGGTGCGCTCGGCGTTGCGTCGCAGCGCCTGCACCACCAGTGACACGGTGCTGTCCTCGCGGAGGCTCTCGGCGCGCGGGCTGCGCTCGTCGTAGACGATGACGGCTGAGTAGAGGCCGGAGCGCAGGCGGGCGCGGACCTCCTCCTCCGCGGGCAGGATCTGCTCCAGGCTCACCGAGCCCTTGGCCCGCCGCCGCACGATGGTGTTGCAGCGCACGTTGACTGAGCCTCGAATGTAGCCGGCGCTGTGCGCCAGGAACGGTCGGCAGTCCAGCAGCAGGCACTTGCCGCCGCTCAGCAGCCCCAGGGCGCCGTGGCTGCCACTGCCGCTGCCGCCCGCGCCGCCACCGTTCTCATCCCGGTTCATCAGCCTTTTGAGCACGCTGCAGTCCATCTCCCGCAGCTCCTCCACCGTCACCATGGTCGCCAGGAACCGCGGCTGCTGGGCACGCGAGGAGGCGAAGGACGCCCGGGCCAGCTGGGCTGCAGGAAGGGGCGAGCGGGGGCTAAGGGAGGGCGCGGGCAGAAGTGGCCGCAAACTTGGCCCTTAGGGGCTCCCACGGCCGAACCTCTTCTCCCTGGTCCCCTTCCTCCCACAGCCTCGCAGTTACATAGCAGTCCGAGCGGCCTCGGGCGCCAGGCAGCACGGTGCCAAGGGGGAGGTGGTGGTGTGGGGAGTGTGTTTACGGGAGAGGACCAAGGGCTTCTTTCCGTTGTCGCCTCTATTGTATTTTGCCCGTTGTGCTGCTCTGGCCGCCGTTCCCCACGAACTGCCGGAGCTCCGCGGTCTGCCCCAGCCAGAGTTTCCTCTCCTCGGCTTATGGATTTATTAATGCTCCTCTGCTCTCCCCCGGGAGGGGGCAGATTCAATACTACCTCGCGAGGCCCCGCCTCTTTCCATTCTAGGTCGCGAGCCCTGCTCCGCCCCCCGCGCTCGCTCCCCGCCCCTTCGCGACTCCCCTCGCCCCGCTGGTCCCACCCCCTCCGCCCGCCCGGGCGCGTGAATGGAGTACCGGCCGCTAGCGCCCAGTCACGGGGACGCGACGTCACAAAGAGCGGAGTAAACAGGGCGCGCGGCTCTCGCCGCCAGGCCCATTCATAAAACCAAGACCTAGAGGATGAGGGAGGAGGCCTCCGACCCGCGGGCGAGCCGCAGCGCCCGGACTTCGTGAATGGAGCTTGGCGGCGCCTCTCCCCAGCCTCCGCGGCCCGCGTCCAGCCCTACCCGAGTCGCCGTGCAGCCATCGCACCCCGCCGCGGTGGTGGCGGCGGCGACGGGCGGAAAACAAAGTCGCCAGCCGAGAAGCCGGCCTAGCGGAGGCCTGGGCTCGGTTTCGAGGTTTCATTCCTCTATCACCTCCGTGCTTGCCCCTTACCAGCCTCGCAGGTGTCCCCCACGTACCCAAGTGGACTGGGGAACCCTGCACCGCATCCCAGCCGGCCCGGCCCTCCTCGCCCCAGGCTTACGGAGTGCGTTCGGCCCGCCAGCCGTTTTTTCTCTTGCGATTCCTCAGCCATGAGCTTCTGCCTTAGCCTGATCGATTTTCATCTTAAACCGTTAAATCAGCTTTATAGCTTCCCGAGGAACGTGGGCAAACCCCAACCCAGACGATGAAAGAGAAAACCCTCCCGCCCCAAAGCCCAGTTAATAGGAGTGAGGTGTGGAGTCTGCTGCTTTACGACCCGGAGGGAGGCATTAATTGAATCCGGAATGTTGTTCCCAAGAAGGAAGGCGGGAGTGCCACTCCCTTCCACGCTTCCCAAAGATGTTTATTTAACCCTGATGCGGGAAAAAAAAAAACCCGACGTTTTCGGCTTTTGGAAAAGTCCTCACCCCATCTTGTACTCGTGTGAATTGTCTTCTCAGGAAATGACAATTAGGGTCCACACTTGGTGCGAAGCTAGACCCAGGGAAATTGACGCGTAAAGGATTTAATACGCTCCACGGCCGATTCAGGTTTCTTTGCCTTGCTTTTTCCAGGTCAATTCGCATTTTTCCCGCCCCCGTTTTTACTTATGCATTTCGTTTCCCAGAGGCCGCTTTTGGCAGGGGGTGTGTGCGCGCCTCGGTGGGGTCACGACAGAAGCCAAAAAGTATTCGCCCATCTTGCCAAGTCTTGTTAGTGAGAATTAACCAGCGAGCTGGGAATTACAGGACTCGCTCCGGGCCTTGGTGGCAGCGGGGTCGAGTCTTCCACTGTGGCTCTGCAGAGGCAACAAGGGCCGCAACCCGCGGGGTCCCTCCCTCCCCTGAGTTGGCCTTCCGCTCCGCCTTTGTTCCCCGCGGAGCGGCTCTCCGGAGATGTCACCTCCGGCCTCCAGGGCCACCCCTCCACTCCCCAGCCCGGCCTCGGCGGCGGCCTCCACTTCCGAAACCTACGACCCGCGCTCCCCTCCCGCTGCGCCCGCGCTCCCGGACCCCCAGCCCAAGCTGAGTGCGCCGCGAGGAGCGCCGCTCACCCGTGGGGATACTCCTTTTTACCTCGGGCTCCAAAATGGCTCTGCAATGCACTGATCCCATCTCTGTTTAAAATTTACTACTTTGTTCATCGTGGATTCTTTTCGTGAGGGGGGGGCACTAACTTTGTTTAAGGTACTACATTAGGATATTTATTTTGACCACTGACTTTCGGGCTCCCCCTGACATTTTGCACACGAGGCGCGTGCTCACTCTAGTCCCGGGCCTGGAGGAGGCCACCACTGCGGACAGACCGAGGCCGCGGGTCACTGCGGAGGGGCGGTCAGCGGTCAAAGGCTCGCTGCTTGGCTTCTCCGCTGGGAAGGGGTCTGTACTCCCTCCAAGGGCAATGGGGGCCTCTGTCTGGTTTCTCACGTGCTGAGGTGGCCGTGAGGCTCCGTGTAAAGACTCACTCTCCCTGGTAAACCAGGAGCGCGCCCTTCCCAAGGGGCTCCCACGCCCCGACCGTCCCCGTCTTTCCCGGGCCGCTCTTGGGCAGCCAGGCCCGCTTCCAGGAAAACGCCGTTGCCTTTCCAAGGGCTTGAACTGGACATCTCGTGGAAGAGCCTCTCAGTCAGAGGCAGGTCCGGGCCAACTGCGCACGTGTCGCAGGAGCTGGGAGACGTCCCCCTGCCGCACCCGCCGGGCTCTGCTAGCCTTTGTCTCCCCAGCGCTGGGGGCGCCTCCCCGCCCGCCTGACCCCCGCCCGGCGCTCACGTGGCCCGTAAATAACAGTCAAATCCGGGGTGGGGGGAGGAAAATGCCCACCAAACAAAGACTTGCTTTCTGCACCTGACAGTAATCCGCGGTCGAAGCCCGTAAATCCCGCAGGCAATGCACAAGGAAGGGGGCGTGGGCGGGCGCGTGTGAGCGTGTGTCCACGTGTGCGCGCCCGCGCCTGCGCTCCCGCTCTCTGGAGAGGAGCCGGAGCTCCCACTTCGCGTAGCTAAGCCGAGAGCCGCTTGCGTTACGAACGCGAATGCCTCATTTTTGAAGAAGACTGGGAAAAAAAACCCTCCCCCTTCAAGTTAGGAATTAGCTTTCAGTTGTGTGAATTTCAGCCAAAGAGATTTAAATTTCGTATTTATCCGGGTCCTCTGTAAGCACCCTAGATAATTCTTTTAATTTTAATTTTTGGTATTGTAAGTATGGGGGCCATTTGCCACACAGTTAAATGAATACAATGTGAGGGCTACCCGATAACGGCTGTAGAGGTGATAAAACTTGTCTCCATTGAGTATGCAGCGGGGCCGGGGCGGGGGGGGGGGGGGGGGGGGGGGGGGGGGGGGGGAAAGGACCTTAATCAGTTTACACAGGAACCTCGTGAAACAGCATGTCAATAAGTAGATCTTGGAGAAAACAAAGGCATTTAGAAGGAAAACATTGAATGTCATTTCAAAGTTAATTTAATTAAGGAAGGCATAGCTGCAGGAGTTGAGATGGGATTGCCCAAGGAGAGAGATTTTATTTATATTCAGCAGGAAACCTACTTTAAACATTCACTGTGACATGTAAATCCAGCTTCTCTTTCATCAGACAGTCCTCAGACAGATCTTATTAGTCACTGTCAGGCCTGGCAAAACCCTTGTTCTTGTTTAAGAACACTTATTTCCAACTAGGAAGTTGTGTGATCTGGGAATTTAAAGCCCAGAGTAAGGATCCCCAGAGAGGACTATGGCTTCTATTCTTGTTTTGATGCCAACCTCTGACTCACTGCCCTTTTCCCAAGGGCCTGAATAAAACTTGCCTGAAAAATCATTAATGAATTAATCGAGGTGGTGATGGAAAGAAAGGTTCTGTGGATTCCTCTTTCCTGAGTAAGAGAGGGTGCCTTGCTTATTGCTCTCAACTGGAACAAGAGTGGTCCTTTTTGCATGGAGCTGTTGGCTAGGTTTCTTAGATCAGCTGATTGGGGAGCTTCCCCCCATAGTGGGAATGCTTAAAAGAACTGAGAGGCTCTCTCATGCTCCTCAAGGTAAGAAGTCTGTATATACTGTGTGTTTTTGGCAACAGGTATAGATGGAAATGAGGAACGTCTGTCCTTCCCTGCCCACCGCTGCTCATCAAGTCAGGACTCAAAAGCAATGGAAAGTCTTCAATGGTGAGAATGAACATCACCAAACAACCTCAGAAACATAACCTGAAGGCTTTTTTAGCCCTGACTTTGTCGTAGATTTGTTCCATAGACTCCATTTATTTTTCTATACACTATACTGTAGTATTTACTGATGATTTAAAGTGCTAGGTTTCTAATCCAGGGACTCTGCAGAAAGGTTTAATATGTTGCTTCATTCAGTACTTTATTTTGAAAACGATTCAGTCTAGGCTATGCCAACATCTAGCTTAGTGATCCTGGGCAAGACAGTCTCCCTGGGTCTGTTGCTTCACGTGCAAAATGAAGAGTTTGGGCAGGTTGATTTGTGGGATCTAGTTCATTTCCAGCCCTGTGTGATTCTAAGCAGGAGAGGTCTCTACCA